CAAAAATCAATAATAACACCCATTCTCACCATCACCAAACACTACAAACACCATCACCACTAACAACAACAATAATCCCACTTTTTTTCTCTCTCAACCGTCCTTCTCTCCCTTCTTCCTCCCGCTTCTCCTTCCTTCCCCGCTTCTCTTCTTCCTCCCCCCTTTTCCCTCTTCCTTCCTTCCCCCCCCCATCACTCCTACTCACCCACCCCTCCCTGCCCCCTCCCTCCCTCCTTCCTTCCTTCCCCTCCTCTTTCCCTTCCCTAACCTCCTCCTTCCTCCCTCCTTTCGCCCCCATCTCCCTCCCTCCTTCCCCTCCTATCTCCTCCCTCCTTCCTCCCCCCTATCTCCCTCCCTCCTCCCCCCTCCTATCTCCCTCCCTCCTTCCTCCCCCCCCCCTTCCCTCCCTCTCCCTTCTCTCCCTTCCCCCTCCTCCTTCCTCCCCCCCCCTCCTATCTCTCCCCCTCCCTCCCTCTCCCTCCTCCTCCCCTCCTATCTCCCCCCTCCTTCCCCCTCTCCCTCCTTCTCCCTCCCTCCTCCCCCCCCCCTCCCACCAGGCTATGGTACATGGTGAACCCAGACTCAGGCATTCTGGTGGGCTTGGACGGCGCCCTTCAGAGGATCCTCATCAACGGCGTGGCTTACGACCGTCTGCTGGAGGCGGCGAAGGACCACAAGGGCGTGGGCTTGTACCGGGGGAAGCCTTGCACGCCCAACCCTTGCAACAACGGAGGTCTCTGCGTGCCGCTCCTGGGGGGGTTCTCCTGCAGGTGCACCTTCATGTTCGTCGGGAGAACCTGTCTTATCTCCGTAAGCTTAATGAAATATTTTGTCTCTGCGTGCCGCTCCTGGGGGTTCTCCTGCAGGTGCACCTTCATGTTCGTCGGGAGAACCTGCGACAGGAGTGAGTGTTGGCGGATTCGTTTTGTCGTTTTTTGTTGTTATTTTTTTAGCTTGTTATTACTGCTAGCATCACTGTCGTTAATGTTGTTATCATTGTTATGTTATTATTATTATTATTTTTTTTTTAGCAGTAGTTAGAAGTATGTAGTATCATTATTACTATTATTATTATTGATGTTGTTGCTGTTGTTAATGTTATTATTACTAATTTTATTATCATTAAATGTATTATTATTTTTATTATCATTGTTATCTGTCATTATTATCATCATTCATCATTATCACGATTATAAATTATCATTATTATCCTAATTACTATTATTATCATTGTTATTGTTATTATCATTCATTCTTTTTCATTATTATTGGCAGTATAATTATGATGATGATGATGAAATTATCATTATTATATAAATATTTTACATTATTGTTGATATTGATATTATCATTGACATTACTGATATTGATGCTATTATTGATATTACTGACGTTAATATTATTATTCATATTATTGATATTGATTGTTTTCTTTTATATTATTATTAATATTGTTACAATTATTTTTGTAGCCCACTGCCCATACGCAATAATTTCCATACAGTGTGTCATCTTTAGATTGTTAATACTGGTTATGAATAGCGTAGTGGTGTCAGTAGATATAGGACGAGACCACTTTACATAGGCGGAGGAAGGTATTTTGATTTGTGTGTGTGTGTGTGTGGGGGGGGGGGGGTAAAGTAGGCCCTTCCCAAATAGGGGGTCCTGAGGGCTGCGGGTTCTAGGTGGGGTCCAGGAGCATCGCCCCGGTGAAGGAGCAGGGAGCGAAGCCCTTGGAAGCTTCCGGATTTTAGCAGTTTTAAGAGATAAACTCGTTAATTTCTGCACTAAAATGTCAGATAGTTTTATTTCGATAATACTTGGCTTCATGATTATTCCATTTAGAACACCTGTTGCAAGGGTCAGTGGTCTCAACGAATGAGTAACTGAGGGATTGCACTGTTTGTTTATTTATAGGGAATGGCCTCGAAAGTTGTGGAGTGGGAGGGGGGGGGGGAGGGCAGAAGTTGGGTCCCACTCCCCTTCATTCTAGAGTGGAGGGGTAATCGCCCCCCTGACCCCCCCCCTCCCTCCTTTTCCCTATGCCTATGCTTTATGTAATTACAATCTATTGATATGTGGGAGATAATATGTAGGTACTGGGATAAAATTCAGTTTGTGTGTGATCGTTGTCGCCGCACACGGTTGCCATATCGTCATCCAGTCAAAGGATCATTGCATTTTACTGTCTCAAAACCTTCTGTCAACTTTGTAAGTGGATCAGCGTTCGAGCGCATCCTGATAAAGTCTTAAAATGTCTTCTTATTTATTTATTTTGGGGGGTGGGTGGGGGGGGATTTAAGACCTTGAAAAGACTTAAAAACGGAGCTATTTCTGTCACGTGTCTTAAAATGTCTTAAATTTTCCCAAGGCGTATATGTACAGTACCGGAATTATACTTCAGTACACTTGTTGGGTCCCACGTTAGTACATCTGGCAACAAATTCGACGTAAACACAAAATAAATTGTATTTTTACGAATGGGGCGAAATTCGTAGGTTGTTTGTTACAAAGAGTGTGATTGGTAGTATATAAGGAACCAATAAGTGTATTGATATATATATTTTTTAAACTAAGTAAACCATTTGATCTTTATATATTTTCAAATAAGTGAGAACAAAACACATGATATTAGATATTACTGACTTTGTAGCGAGATATTTTTCAACTGCAAATTCCTGGGATTGTCTGTCTATCGAAATGGCAACACCTATGGAGGCGAAGCGGTATTTTCCCCTTGAAATACGAAAACATTTCATGATTTAAACATATGTGTATGGCAGCGAAATCATAACAAAAAAGTGTGCAAAATCGCTGAGACCATTTTGTGTGTGTGTGTGTGTGTGTGTGTGTGTGTGTGTGTGTGTGTGTGTGTGTGTGTGTGTGTGTGTGTGTGTGTGTGTGTGTGTGTGTCGCCTATGGACGTCAATACTTGGTGACAGTATGTATAACTCGTTTCGGTTATTCTGAATGTCCTTTATCTTGTGTTAAAATCTTATCATAGTTTCCATTACCATTATTCCATAAATCTTGGCGTTTCTACAATGAGCTACATCCACATTCAAACAGCTGACCTAGAAAATGCATGTTTGCTTGTTTCAACTACTAGTTGGGTAGTTCCAAGGAGGGTGAATACCAGAAGTCTAAGAACCGACTCCCAATACATGTGCTGTTTAATGACTAATATTTTGGAAAAAAGAACCATTCATATGAAATGGGTAGATCATCTCGCTCTCTGCCTTTATTTGTCACTTATCCAGGTTACAAATTCCTTCTTTTTGATCAATAAACTGTACCAATAATCTGTTTATACGCGTAGGTGTAGATGAGATTGTCATACTTGTCTTTAATCATAAAATCAAGG